GGATAATTCCTCCTAACTATTAAAATATGCCGCCAGGCACTCAGTGAACTGCCTCACAGTGCTGGCGGTGGTGTGGTGCCCACCCGCCGTAGTCATCTGCAGCCCAACCAGCGTCTTCCGCGACAAATCAACAAAGAAAAAGCCGTCCACCAGCGGAAAGTTTTCGACCGCCGGTATGTACAGCACCCCGTACTCCATCGGAATCCTCTCGACACCGCCTTGCAGTCCCGCTATTCCAACGGTGCGAGTGGGGTACCCTTGATGGTTTACCCTCAGCACTGATTCCTGTTCTTCACCACGTTGTGGTGACCTCAGCTCATTGAGTCCCTTTACTAGTGCACCGACAAACTCCCCATACATGAAGGCGCGCAAACCTAATTGTTCGAGAGCTCGGGAAGCAAGAGCACCATGCGATCCCAATATTATCAACAAAAGATCCTTCGTGGCAATGGCTTTGCCAAACAGTCCGCAGTTCGAAACCCAATATCAGCACATATCGATGCGTTCAGGAATACCTCAGCACCTTCATCTGTTCTTGCCCGGAAGTTCTTCACAAGTTTGTGAGACGGATCCTCGGAATACAATTTTTCCTCTCCTCTCAGGGTAAAGTACTTTCCTTGATCCCCAATATTGATCCATTCCAAGGCCCTCATAACACCTTGCGTGCGTTTTCCATATTCATCCGCATCGAAGATATGCTGTGGAATCGGCCCCAGTTTTTCTATGCGTTTTTTGACCTTCTTCCAGTATTCCGCTTGCTTATCTGGATCCAGACCTCGCTTTATCCATGCACACATCGCCTTCACATCCATCTTGTCGGGGCACTTCACGATGACTCGCGCGGCTCGTAGTTGCTTCGCCCACTCATCACAGTTGTTTGCCTTTGGGAATGACACCGCAATCATGCCCCTTCCGGAAGTGGGCGCAAAATGTCTCGGTGGCGGCGTTCCCTCCGTTGCCACATCGTAGATAATATACGCATTCCTCCCATGGCCCCTCAGACTTTTCAACTCCGAGATGCATATGTCCTCATCGCTCTATCTTGTCACCGCTCTGGTGGTCTTGTCAGGCACGTACGCATCTCCTCCACCAAAACAGTGGACCACCACTTGGAGTTTCTCGACATCGCAGTGCAGCAGTTGGTAGAGGAGGTACGAGCCGGCAGCCACCGATTTCCCGATCCCGGGCGTCCCAATCAACACACGTCGCTTGGGCGTAAAGTCGGTCTCACCGTGAGGGCTGAACCACGCGGTTAGATCGCCCCTGACGATCTGCCACACTCGATCCACCTCACAGTTTACAAAAATGTCTTTGGGAAGATCCTGTATCGTATTCCACGAACACGGCCATCCCTTCTCCGAGGCGAGCACCATCAGCCTGAGACGCTGCACCGAATTGCTGCACAGCGTCATTCTTTTCGATAGCGTCGTCAGCTTTCTTGTACGTCCATGACTGTTCTGGCTTCCCCTCATGCACCCCCATTCCCATCCCCGTTTTCTTTCGCTCCACGCCGTCCGGAAGTTCCACCGCATGGCTCCGTCTCGCATTGTGCACAGACTCGTAGCATCCCTCCAGTTTCTCCGGTGCGCTCGTCGTCGTTGGGTTCCTCGCCTCCTCGGCAGCTGCATCCAAGAAATGTTTGGTGGAGTTATGAACAGTTGCTTTTACCTCCGCAGCAGCTAATGACCACCCCGGTGGATTGTTGACACCCTTATCGCATAGCTTGCGTATATCCTCATCGAGGATCAATTCACCCTTCACAGCTCGCTTCATACTCAAATAATGACCTGATGCCTGTATTTCGTTCAATGCTCCTTTATCACGGATATACTTCGTGGGGTCCTTGAAAAACTCTTCCAGCAATACATCCCCATTGGTGTCCACAATGCCCCTGCCGTCCAGTTCCCTCGTAAGATAGTCGCTCAGCTTCATTTCATTGACGCGAGCTCTTCCTTTAAACAGTACACCATCGATATTAGTGGAAATGGTAAATTTCATGTCTTGCGTTCGTCTTAGCCTTTCCTCTGCCTCCCGCCTCGCTTCCGTCAGTACCTGCGTGAGTACTCCGTTTGGTATTCCCCTTGCAAGAGGAGTGATCGTATGCTTTTCTTTCATAGTCCTACGTTGCCCAAGAGAGAGCACACCTTCGTGAAGCGGCTTAGTAATGGCCTCCAGCGCTTGGTGCGCAGTTAAGTTAAGAATTTCTTCAAGAAGCCGCTGGTCTTGTACGCAATCATCCGGCTCCTGAACAAACACCTCCATCGTCACATTGTAGTCTTTCATCAACGGCCGCCCTGCCGCCAACATAATTCCAAAGGAAATCACTCAGCATCATGTTGGTGCTGCTAGTGTTTCCCTCCTGCAGGATTTCCTCTACGGTGCTGCTCATGGTCCACCGCGGCCACACTTCACTCCCCGCCACACGTCGAGCTGCAGCGTCGGAACCATCACCAGAGCCGCTGCAAGGCGCCACCACAACACCCGTGCGGTGAAGCATCCCAGTCGCACCGCCCAACTGCGGCCAGCAGGCGCCGCTGGCTCCAAAGGACACTCGCGGCTGCTTCGTCCCGCTGTCCCAATGGCGTTGGGCGTGGCACTCGCACGGCGGGGCTGTCGGTGCGCCATGCAGCCGCACTGCAACGCCTGTCGGTGAAGCAGTCGAGGCCCACCGCCCCCGAAGCAACACGAGGCGTGCAACCAACCCCAACATACCGCCACACTATCGCCCTTTTTTATTTTGTTTTATCCACGTTGTCCGTCGCTTTGCCCCATCACCGACACAAAAAATAAGTGCACACCTTCACAAAAGAAAAATAAAGGAGGCACGATCCCACCGTCCCGCCGCGGATCAACACTCTCCTCCACCCACCACCATTGCCGCACAGAAAACCGCAGTCACATCGCAGAGGCAACACCACAGCGTGCACCACACAATCGTGCAGTGAACGATGGGCGAGACGCAGCCATGCATCGCCCCGCTCCATTTTACCACCAATCAGGTTTTGTTTGCCCGCAAAAAGTAGCAAACACAATCAGAGTGCACACAAACCCAACCACCCCCTCACTCGCTGAAGCACATTATTCGCATGGAGTGACAACATTTGGGGACAAACCAGCAGTAGCTGGCTGCATGGAATTTCCCTTCCAACCCCGCAAAGAGACGCAACAACTCTGCGGAGTCAAAGTGGCAGCCCCTCGGTGCTGCCCGCAGTTCACATAGCAGGAAGAATTCCACGCACGCATAGTTCCGGACACCTCGCTGTCTGAGTGCCCAACAGAACATGTGAAAAATACCTGCGCGCAAGATGCAATTAAATACGTGAAAAAGTCGGCCTGCTTTCTCCGATGGCGTTGGCGAGCAGTCCCACACAATCCAATCAAGGTGGCACGCCGGACAGAATGGCGTCCGTCAATCAATAAAAAAATGCGACACTGAAAAGGAGCAGAGAAGAGGTGGCGCATGCGATTGTCAGTGACAACCGTAAGCAATCCCGCCAGCACCAACTGAGGTGCCGAGGAGCACGTTTGTGTATAACTTGCCGTCAGGCAGAGAGGATAAATAAAACAAAAGGGCAGCAAACCCTCTCGTTCAATGTCTCCTGACCGCGGCACCAGAATCAAAATACCATGGACGATAAGAGCGGCAACGCCTTCTCCAAAACATCTTGTCAAGAAGCCGCAGGATCTCAGGAAGAGAAGAAGGCAGCGGCGGCAGCCACAGCGGGGAAGGCAATAAAACGGCTGGCAGGCACCTTCACGTCGACGTGCACACCACATCCGAGTGGGCTGGGAGCACTGATCGAACCGCTCGGAAACACACGCATCAAATCCGCAAAACAAAGTCGCGGTGAATCGACAGGAACCCCCCGCCCAAAACAAATTTAAAAAGCAGCGTTTTTCAAGGGGGATCCGCTTTTCCGACGGCGGCACGGACGCCTAGCAGGAATTTCTTGCAAATCTCCCTTCGCAGGTCCGCAAGAAAACGCAGCGGAATATAAAGAGAGCGCAACGACGCAAAAAAAAAAAATAATCCTCCTAACCGACCAGGTGGCAGGCCGCCCTCGCGCAAGTGGACAAGACACAGCTTCACTCCGGTCTTGTCGTGGTGGTCGTCTCGCAACATTTTTTTCATTTTCTTCGCAGTGCACATCCCCCCCCAACACACACACATCAGTTGTTCGGGCCATGTTCCTGCGGCCAAACATCGCGCTGCTGGATCCCGCGGCACAGTCCTCGGCACAGAAGTGAGGGGAGGAAGAGGGACCGCAGGAGGTGCGAGCAAATCCGAATTCGGTGGCGGTCGCTGCAGTGAAGATTGACGTCCCACGCGGTGTCCCTTTTCTAGGTCCGGTCCTCACCGTGCCATGCTCCCAGCGTGCGGTGTGCCGGCCGCTCCGAACATCCACACGTGCTTGCGTCTCACCGTCGCTCCCAGCCCCGTTCGTTGGCTGCATCAGGGATGCCGCCATCCGGAGACGGGCATAAGGACGTTGCATCCAACAAAAACCTCAGAGGCACCCGCTGGGCCAACGACAACCGTCACTGCGGGATGTGTGACCCTTCCGTCGCTCACCTCAAATCGCACTTCTACACCTCCTCGAGCAGCAGCAGCAGCATAAATACACCGGTCCACTAGGGGCCGTCACCAGCCATTGCAGGAAGACCACTGTGCCTCAGTGCCATGAAACCCGAATTGCATTGACGGGCCACTTCGGAAAATCCTGTCGCATCCTCCCCCAATTATGCAGAAACACATCCGTCGTGCATGTGTCCATCGCAGCCAAATGAATCCGGTCCAAATACCCTCCAAATCAAATTCCCCTTTCCTCAAGCCATTCCCTCATTCCATACGCCCTGACCCTCATCCGCACGTGCCCGCTCACACAAACCGCCATAGACA